AAGTAGTTGAATCAGTAGTGAAGTTGAGAGCAAGCAGATGGAAATAAATTATTCATCGTCGTCGTCCAACCTGGAAAACTTTGGGGGCGGAGACGAGGCTGGCCAGGGCTGACGACAAGGTCGCTGAAACTATGCCTGCTACCGTTATTGGACCGAACGCTGATGATATCTGTATGGCCTATGGAGATGATGATGATGATGACGATGACGACGATGATGATGACGATGATGATGATGATGACGATGATGATGATGACGATGATGATGATGATGACGATGATCATTATTTATATTACGATCACAAACGGACAACTAATAGAGGGGCAGAAATTCAATTATTGTAAAATCAACTAGCATATTAAAGAACAAACACGTGAACAAACATACAAACAAACGAAGAAGCAAACGAAGAAGCATACAGACGTACACACAAACATACAGACAAGCATACCCTCATGTCATTAAGCAAACCATAAGGGCATGGGTTTTCACGACAATAATTCGACGAATCGTTGAACGAATTGTTAAAAATTGGCGGAGTTATAGATTGATTGGCACCTAGAACTTGAGTAGTATTCTGTAGAACGTAAAATATTGATTAATTATAGCTATTTAAATTTTTTTAAGTTACTATTTATAGTCTTTGATGTTTTCCAGGACTACGTCATCGCCATCATCATCATCATCATCACCTGGAAAAAAGTAGTAGTAGTAGCGTAGTCGATGATTTGCAGGATGGTATCGTTACCAGCACCAGCGCCACTCAGCAGCGTGGCGGGAATTATTGGGCCCATTTTCTCGCGGACTATTGTGCAGCCTGGAGTGGTGGGGACGACGACGACGATGATGGTCAATAATAATAATATTATTATTATTATTATCAAGCCCTCAGAGAAGTCTCAAAGGAAGACACTAACCAGACATCCATGCGACCGCCAGGTAGGTCATGGTGGTGAGCAGGATGGCCAGCAACGTGCCTTTCGGAATGGCTTTCTGGGCGTCCTAAATTGAAACGAAACGAAACGAAAGTTCATTCGGTAGCAAGATAACAATAACGAAATTGAATAACGATATTAAGACCTTGATATTATCAACATTCTTCGAGATAATGCAAACCCAATAAACGGAGAAGTTAAGGAAATATAAACCAATATAACACGAACGGGCATATAAAAACACACACACTCACGCACAAACAAACACACATACACACGCACACACATCCTCACAAAGACACAACCTTAAGGTCGCCGGATATGTTGGCCCCGGCTAGGATGCCAGTCGCAGCAGGAAAGTAGATGGCGAACGTGGTGAAGAAGTGCTCACCGCGGAAGTCAGGCGGAAAGTTATTCATGAAATTTGTCACTGAGTGGAGAATTTTTTTTAAATTTATTCATTCTTTTGTTCTTTTTTTGTTCGTCGTTCATTCATTCGTTCGTTCGTTCGTCCATTTATTTATTTCTCATTCTTTCAACAAATGAGTCAACTGTCTGCAACCGACCAGTTAAATTTTTTTTTAACAAATCAAATTCTCATTCCACCAATCAACCAACCAATCAAATTCTCATTCAATCATTCAACCAGCCAATCAAAACTGACGACTATATCCGGTAAATCCTCTTTCCTTCTGTTCTTCACTCGGAGGAATGAATGTGCCGATGAAAAAATTCAAGATGGCCACCAGTAGCAGCACCAATAATATTAATTGAGCCTGGATCGTAGTGATGATGAGAATGAAAATGAAGAGATGATGATGATGAAGATGATGAAGATGATAAAAAAGATGATAAAAAAGATGATCTCAACAAAGCAGCAGCAGCAACAGCAGCAGCAGCATCACCTTCGCCTCCCACCCCATGCCAGCCAGAGTGATGAGCAGCATGGCGAATGCTGTGATGATGCCCATGATCCGCACATCGTTTATCCGGTCCACCATCAAACAATCATGCTCCTGAGTTAGTTGGTCGGTTGCATGGTTGGTTGCATGGTTGGTTGCATGATTGTTTGGTTGCATGGTTGCATGGTTGGTTGCATGGTTGGTTGCATGGTTGGTTGTATGATTCGTTGGTTGGTTGCATGGTTGGTTGTATGATTCGTTGGTTGGTTGCATGGTTGTTTGTATGATTCGTTGGTTGGTTGCATGGTTGTTTGGTTGCACGGTTGGTTGGTTGTATGATTAATTTGTTGGCATAATGGCTTTGAAGATTTGGAAAGTAATTTTTTTTAATAAAAATTCCATTTTGAAGAAAGAAAGGCCCACCTCCAGGATGTCCCTGATGGTCTCTGCGAACCCCACGATGTACATCGCGACGGCCACAGCGTTCGCCAGGGAGAACACAATCCCTATGGCACCCCCGTACTCGGGACCCAAACTTCGCGATATCATGTAGTAAGCACCTCCTGAAGTTTGTGTAAGTTGGTTTGTACGTGTGTGTGTGTGTACGTATGTGTGTTTGTGTGTGTGTGTGTGTGGTGTGTGGCGTGTAGACGTACGTGCGACGTCCACAACAGCAGCAGCAGCCACCTACCTCCCTTAACGACACCATTTGTGCTGATGGCAGACATGGAGAGGGTGGTGATGGTGGTGACGAGGGAGGCGAGAAGGATGATGACCGTGGCGAGACCGATGCCAGCCTGCCCAACCACCCAGGTCAGCCTCAGGAACAACATTACTCCAAAGATGTTCAACACGCATCGAACCTGAGTGAGGCGAGTGGCGTGGCGATTGTGGCGGTTATGATGAAGATGGTGTGGTCCATCTAATGACCACAAGTGAACACAGCCGCAAGTGAAATTGCACGCAATCAAATACATTTCAAATCGAAAAATTACAGAATGGTTGAGAATTTGCTATGAAAAGCAACAAAAGCAGCAGCAGCAACAACAACGTACCAAGACACCCTGAATCCAGCCAAACTTCTTAGAAGCAGCAGCAGTTGCACTCGGTTGAGTTTCAATGTGGCTCGGAGATTTTTGGAGGTCGAAACCATTGTGATCTAACTGTGCTTGTTCGTCCTGGTTGATTGGTTGTATGGTTGATTGGTTGGATGGTTGGTTGGTTGGATAGTTGATTGGTTGATTGGTTGGATGGTTGATTAAATGATTGATTGGAATGATTGATTGGTTGGACTGCTGATTATTCTCATCATAACAAACGCTAGCATCGTGATCACGGCCGTCATAAACGATTTTCAATTAAAAGCAATCAGAGCAGATCCCTTATTAAATATCGAGACAGTGCAACTTGAGCAGCCCCCACTTGAAATATCTTTAACGTAGTGACGACGATGATGACGACGATGACGATTTACAATGAAAATGCAACAACCAACGCGCTGATAATAATAAATATCTAATATTATTATTATTATCTATAACTTTTTTAATTATAGTTGTTATAATTATTATTATTATTATTATTATTATTATTATGATGTATGTATATAGAGATTCATAGCAATAATGACTGAATGGCTAGGTCTGCTTCTTGAAACAAGCTCGTAAATAAATTGTATTAATAATAATAATAATAATAATAGTTTTAGTAATAAAAAAACAATAATAATAAAAATAATAATATAATAAAAATAATAATGTGAGTAATGACGTTGATAATGATGGCGCAATTATAATAATGAACTGTAATGATGAAGGTGCCCATTGAATTCAAAACTCGCTCACAAAATTATTATTGTTATTATTATTGTTATTATTATTATTATTATCAGTATTATTATTATTGTTGTTGTTGTTATAAAGTTATGACAAATAAGCAGAAGAGATTTTATCTTTAAACTCCGAACACAAACATGCCAGAGTAAGAGAGAGAAAGAGAGAGATGCTTTTTTTTAAAAAGTCAGTCTTCATTTATTCATTCACTTTCACTCTCTCTCTCTCTCTCTCTCTCTCTCTCTCTCTTTCTTTCTATGGGTTTTTTCATCCTAGATAGTATTTGCTAATAAATTTATATATCGATGCTTCCATTTTTTTTGGTTTTTGGTAACTGCTGATTTTTTCTCCGTGACATCATTCAATTTTCATTAATGTTATCATTAATGTTATTATTATTATTATCAAACTATTTTTAGCGTGGCTCCAAACAGGAACATCTACGTGACGTGCGAATGTACGTACGTATGTTGTACATCTTGTTACCTAACTCATGTCACCGGGACAGAAGTTAAAATGATGACGACGACGATGGTGAAGATGATGATGAGGAGGAGGAAGAGGACGATGATGATGATGATTATGCTAAGGTTACAAGGAAAAATAATTTATATTGCTTATCATTTTTTATGCAAACACAACCCGAATGAAATCATTTGCTGGAAGGTTGAATGGGTAGATAAATGAACAAACGAACGAACGAACGAGTGAACAAGTGAACGAGTGAACGATGCATGAATAGAAAACGAGTTTACACGTACGAACAAAAAATATTAAATTGATACGTAGAAATCCCACAAAATGGCACAAGATAGACGATAGTATAAAACTCACGGCTGCTTCGAGGTCGTGTAGCTCAAGCAAAGTGGGTCTGGAACGCATGACACCGGTGGTGGAGAGGAGGTTTCTGTAGTGGTCGATATGGGGCAAGGTCTCCAGTGTGTTGTTCCCGAAGGTCTTCTGTGTCTGTTGCAGGTAGGTAGGTTGGTTGGATGGTTGCTCTGTTGCTGTTGTTGGTGTTGTTGTGTTGGTATTGTTGTTCGTGTGTGTATGGTTGACGTCACGCGTCACGTGATATTCATGTTCATGTTTCTTGATTTGAAGCAGGTCCACTTGAAAAACGAAAGCGTATAAAATAAATATCTGCGGACAAATGATTGAGTCGTTAGAGAAATTGAAAAGATTACGATTGAAAGAAAAAATTACTCGTTCATTCATTCATTCATTCATTCATTCATTCTCTCATTCATTCATTCTCTCATTCATTCACTCACTCATTCTTTCATCTCTATCAAGGAGGATGTATGTATGAATGAATGAATATATAATTAAGTCATGGTTATGAGCAAACCATTAATGAATGTTTGTTGGAAAGATGACGATGATGACGATAATATTAATTGAATTTTATCCCTAGATGAAGGAAATATTCAGCTAGAGATAACGAAATATGAGATAGCATTATTAGGCGAACTCGAATTGTTAGCCAGTTTTTGCCACAATTCTGTTAGTCTAATTAGCGAAAAACCATTTTGTTAGCACTGTTGAAATGAATTTTCAAAAAATGAGAATAAATAATAAAATTATTTTAGTAATAAAACAAGAAAATTAATTATAGAATAAAAAGTTTTTACTGATGACGAGTTAGAATCGCATACGTTCTGCATTTGAAATCACGTTAATAAAAAAATCATCATTATAAATATAATTATTATTGTTATAACTTATAATTAATGTCAGAAATTTGTCAAATAATTATTCCTAATGATTATAAATAGTAAATCGCTTATTTATTGTTTCATTAAACTAAATTTACACATGCAGAGACAAGCAGACACACAGACGCACATACATAAAAACACAGAGCTACACACCTCTTCCGACTTCTTGCGGTCAGTAGCAGCTGCAGTCAGATCGTCAAGCAGCGGATGACCAGCTTCACCGACCACTTCCTTCTCGGGTGACGGACTGCTCTCAGCGGCAAAGTCTACCTTCGCCACTCTGAAGCGGGACTGATTGGAGTCCATCAACGACTTGTCGTCCAGCTGCTCTGCAGTGGCTGTCGCTATCAATAAAGATGCTGCTGCTGGTGGTGGTTGATGTTTGTCGGGCGTTCCTATCGACAAGTCCTCTGTCGAGATGGCAAACTTCGGTCGCTCTGACATCTCCTGTAATGTGAACGAGGGTCGGGCTCAAAATACCATGATGCAAGATCTAACCGTTGTTTTATCAAAACTCATCAGTATATATACAGAAAAAGAGAGAGAGACAGAGAGAGAGAGAGAGAGAGAGAGAGAGAGAGAGAGAGAGAGAGAGAGAGAGAGAGAGAGAGAGAGGAGAGATAAGCTTGTCAATTTATTAAACTCTTCAAGATTACTCAACATATCATTAATTAAAAGTTTAATACCGAAATAACGAATGAACGAACGAACGAACGAACGAACGAACGAACGAATGAATGAACGAATGAGCTAACATTTTGCATCCGTCATATACCATCGTGACCATCAACAACATGGCATTTGATGATGGCATTTAGAAATGTTTGATATTCCAAATTAAATTAATTATATACGGATTAAAATTTACTTTATTTATTATAAAAATTAATTAATTAATTTTACAAATTAATTTATTTAACTAAAAAATTCTCTTTCTAAGACAACAACAGAATATTGCAAAATCATGTTATTAACTCATCTCAGTTTTAATCTTTTAAACGTAAATTATCTTTCAATCTCTTACGTTCTCTTTTAGTATATGTATGTTTGTGTTCGTTACTATGTTTGTTTGTATGTATGTTTGTTTGTTTGTTTGTTTGTATACTTGTTTTTACAATCAAACCAAAAGTTCGTTGTTTGAATCTTATATTATTATTATGACATACCATGCACGCATTTTTTTACTAAACCAAAAATAAAATAAATTGCCATCATCATAACCTGCTATTTATATATGTGTGATCACACAAACACACACACATTTTATGTACGCACATACGTATGTATGTTTGCTCAGCCAATAATAACATCTAATCAATAAATAATTATATAGGTAAGAACCTATCTACTAATGCATATTCAACAATATACATTTACTACATTAAAGTACTATCTCATTAACATAATTTATGCTGATTATTACATTTAATAACACTACGATGTACTAACACAGCGTATACCATTATGTTATATACTTTTAAATCTACACCATATAAACTTCATTTTCGCATGTTATTACAGTTGTTCGCGTTCGTTGTGTAGGTATGTGTGTGTTTGTATGTGTGTAGGTATGTGTGTGTGTGTATGTATGTGTTTGTGTGCGTGCGTGTGCGTGACTAAGTATGAATTCACCGAACTCCATCCACAACGAATGTGATGATGTAAAAATCTCGTTGAGCAAAAAATCAGTTCATATGGAGTTTATGGAGGCAAGTTCATCAGGTGCTTTCGTAATGGGTTATATAGTTTTTCATTTACAATTTTTCAATGAACTCCTACAAGTATCAAGCATACACACACACAAACTGACACACAGGCTGGCACACAAACACACAGACTGACACACACGAGTGCGTTCGAACCTGGTCACTGAACAGCAAGACCAAGCGCTCTACCCATAACACCATCACACTTTACCACGATACATTAATGATTTTAATAATGACCAGCATTAACGGTAATGGTAAAGATGGTGATGGAAGTTCGAGCGAGTGAAGAATGACACAACAATGGTGTAGTACAATGGTTCATTTTGAGTTAGAGTAGCATTTAGGTGCGAAATTTAAATGATTCTTCTTATTATTCCTATAGCAGTAACAACGATGATGATAATAACAGTAATAATAATAAGGCTTATTATTATTACTATTATCATAGTTAAGGAAGGGAGAAATAATTGATTGATTGAATCATGATGGGTGCGCCGTGAGAACTTCTCAAGAAAGCCTCAGTTTGATTGAAAAATTTCAATTAAATATTCTATTATTTCTTATTATCGTTGTTATGATTTTTATCATTTCTTATTATCGTTGTTGCTATTAATGACATCTGTATTTGTTTCAGAAATTCTCATGAAACGCAAGGCAAACCAGAACGATGCGTGTGTGCGTGCGTGCGTGTGTGCGTGCGTGCAATCCTATTGTATGGAGTTGGGTTGCAGGCTGCTGCTGTACCTGCACGATTATCACTGTTCTTATTATCATTATTATCATACACAGTTGCGATCATGTGAAAATTAACAATTATAATTTATATAGCGCTAAAACGAAACAACAATAACATCAAAAACTCAACCCACTTTGGTTTTCATTGAGAATCCGCCGGCCAATCAGATAGAAGGGAAATAAGTCAAGAAATTTTAATTAGCCAATCAGATATAAGGCAGCGCAAAAAATTTTTCTTATAAATATGAATGAACTTTCTTAATTAATTAAATAAAATACTTTAGGCAAAATGGTAAAATAATTTAATTAAAATTCAATTAACCATAATTGATCAATTAATCAATTAAACCACATTGAGACGCGGGGGTTCCAACGGCTGTTCATGCCAAATTAATAGCATACATTATTCTTCCTTTATGTTTCTATTGGCGTATTATACCTTATAAAATACATATATATATATATAATTGTGTCGGAAGAAGACCATATTTTATACAGTATTGCATGGATTCTACAAAATACTATATAAGTATTCTGGTATATATATAGTTATATATAATGTCAAGTTATCAAGATGTGAATGAATATGCATTAATTAATATTCCATCATTAATATGAACTCTCCCACGCTATTCCGACTATAGATATTATTATTATTACTACTATTATTGTTGCTATTATTATTTATTCTTCATCTCAGCACCGAACTGACTGCCATCCATACCAACCAACGAATAATTGAAACGCTTGCAAAGATCCACCCTATTTATACGCATGCAGTGATGATGGGGATTGAACATACGCGCATACACACGCATACACTCACTCATACATACATACACACGGAAAAAAACGAATTCTTTAAATGGACAAGTATTAAAACAGAAAAATTTTAGCATTTAAATATGGATTTAGTATAAAATAATCAGTAATAATAAAAAAGAGAGAGAGAGAAAGATAGGAAGAGAGAGAGAAAGATAGGAAGAGAGAGAGAGAGAGAGAGAGAGAGAGAGAGAGAGAAAGAGTTTGGAAGACAAAAAAGGGAGGAAGATGATGATGCTGGGATGAAAATGCGTGCATTATACAGTATGCGTAACAATATAGAGCACTGAACGATTTCGGTATTAAAACTAAACTATATATATGTCTGTATGAATATGTGTGCATGTATGTATGCATGCATATGTGTATGTGTTTCTGTTTGTATGTAAGCAATACAAATGTACAAGTATGCGTTTTTGTATCTACAGACAGGTGCGAATAACACAACAATCAATCATTTATACATATAATCTATATTAACTATATCAATAAAAGTAATTGTATATACATACATATATATACAACTATATATGAATTTAAAACTATACATATATGCGATTATACATAAGGAACACATGGAACATACTCTCAATACTCATCATACCATATCACAAGTCCCTGAAGTGATGCATGTATGTGTGTGCGTGTGTGTGTGTGCGTGTGTGTGCGTGCGTGTGTGTGTGTGTGTGTGTGTGTGTGTGTGTGTGTGTGTAGTTTTGTATATCATATCATAAATAGACTGTCAGTTGAACATCGGCGCAAACGCAAGAAGACTAGCATATGCTTACTATCACATGCATACAGGCCAACGTAGATGAATGTAGGAAGGAAAGAAGAAGAAGAAAGAAATTACACGAGAGAAAGAAGAAAAAGAGAGGGATGGAGAGAGAGAGAGAGAAAGAGAGAGAGAGAGAAAGAGAGAGAGAGAGAATATATGTTTATATGTGCACACACACATATGTGAAAGAGCGCTCTGGTTAACATTGTTGGAATCGGAAAATGAACAATGAGTAGTGATGCCATGCTGAAAATAATAATAATTTCTCTCTCTCTTTCTCTCTCTCTCTCTCTCTTCCTTCATCTTCTCTCTCTCTCTCTCTCTTCGTTTTTGGTTGAATTCAAAATGGAATTTTTCCAGTGAGAAATAAAAATGAAGAAATTGATGAAACTCCGTGCGTTCCTTTGAAAGAGCATCATGTATTTGTGTGTACGTATGTGTGAGTATGTGTGTGTGTGGGTGAGTGTGTATTTGTGTGTGTCTTTGAATGTTTGTGTATGTGTGTGTGTTTGTATGTTTGTGGAGACGTTTTAGCAAATGAAAATATTTGAACACAAACGGTTAGCAAAATCTGTTTAAAAGTTGAATTTAAGAATCATTTCACAATCATAATATATTTTTCAGGCAGTATATAAGTAATCTGTTTATTCATTTTCGAATATTTTTATAAAAAGTATTTTTAAATTTGTTAATTTTTTTCCAGGATAAAAAAGAATTTGATTAATGGGGTAAATTTTTTTTGTACCTGCTCTGCTGCTGATTCAATTGTGTGGAAAATTTTAGAATGGTTCCTCTTTCTTCCTTTCTTTTTTCTTTCTTTTTCTTCTAAATATATAAATAGAAGATTGTTTAATCTGTCAAACAATCCATCCATTCATTCATCTCTAGATCAATAAATCCATCCATCAATTCAATCCATTCGTTTATCCATCCAACAACTTGGCTTTCATTCGATCATTCTTACGAAACATCTCCGTTACAAATCGCAAACCTGCCACTTTGCAAAGGTCAAACGAAAGGTCAGCCAGGCAGGCAAATTTTAAAAGGTCAGGTCAACCAAATCTTATACCCAACTTCTATCACGTTACCATCTTATTTGGCTCATTATCATATTCTCTCTCTCTCTCTCTCTTTTTCTTCGCTATTTATCTCCACCGGTTCTAATTAAATCATTTAAGCCAGAAGATACACATTAATTAATTCGATTTCTGCTTATAAAGTTGCGAGCAGGCACTGACGCATGCGAGGTATCGTCGTGCTGGAACCAATCAAGGAGTTTGTTTAAACTGGAATTAATAACAATTTCACGCGGATCACATCACGCTATGCAAATGTTAGCTACGTGTTTGCTTATGCACTGGTGTGTTGAATCTTATTCTAGACACACACACACACACACACACACGAGTAGTAGAAGTAGTTGCATTTGAAGTAGTAGAAGTAGCAGCAGTAGTAGTAGTGGTGGTGGTAGTCGTAGTAGTAGTAGTAGTAGACCTGAAAGATTTTAAATTTACGCAGTGATAAAAAAAGCTTCACTATCGATCGATCTGTGAAAAATTGTATGAAAAATTATTTAAAAACTTTTTGTCATTTTTTTAATTATTATTATTATTGTTGTTGTTATTATTATTGTTGTTGTTGTTATTATTGTTGTTATTATTATTATTGTTGTTGTTATAATTTTTTGTTGTTATGTTTCTGGTTCCTTAATAATTGCAGTGCCATAAACATGTCTGCCCTGTATTGCCAGCCGTACACAGACACGTGCATTAAAAGAACTTCTTTTCTAAATCAATGATAGATGGATGGATGGATGGATGGATGGATGGATGGATGGATGGATGGATGGATAACGAAGTTATGGTGTCGCCAAGACGATGATGACGACGACGAAGATGACTGAAGATACGTAGCTATCAGCGCTCGTGGTTTATTTACGACAGCACTGATAACAACCTACAAAGCATTCGACGATACCCAACAATATTTAAAATTACCCAAACAATAATTTAAAATACTTAATAATACTGAGTACTGCAAAAAAAGTTTATTACTACTTGATTTTAACGTGACAGAAAATTGAAGATTGACGATGATTTGTGGGAATAAAATTTCTGCTGCTGCTGCCACTACAACTACCACCACTACTACTACTATTTTTACTACAACCACCACCGCTACAACTACTATTTTTACTACAACTACCACCGCTACAACTACTATTTTTACTACAACTACCACCATTTTTAAGGAATTCATAAAATGACTTTGAAAGAAAAAATTTTAATTAACAGTTAATTAAATTTTAATGCATGTGCCTTTATAATGTTTACAAACATATTAATCAATCAGGTATGTGTATGTGTGTGTGTGTGTGTGTGTGTGTGTGTGTGTGTGTTCGGCTTGCTAACTTGAAATCGAGTCAAATTCGCACTTTGATTAAAAATTAAGCGCTTTTAATTTCAGCAACAACCACAACCATTCCACTCACTTAATTAACTTTTACTTGGCAGAGGTTCACAAAGAGGTTCAGTCAGAGGTTCTTCATTCAAAACCTTTATTTTAAACAAAATGGCTTTCACGAAATTGTTATTATTAATTATTATATTAGTTAATCTAATTTATTATCATTATTTTTTCCAATACTATTTGCCAGCAATTGACTGAAACTCAAAATCAATAGCAAACGCTGAAATGGTCGTAACATTACTAAATCATCTTCCCTGATGACCAGCACAACTTTATATACTTACATGCATGCATACACACATGCACACACACACATGCACACACACACATACATACACACACATATACATACATGCATACATACATACATAAAAAAGGCAACTGACCAATATATAACATGAAAAGTAGTTGATAAAACTCCCAACCAATCACAAAGTAGCTGTTAAGTATGTATCTGTGTGTATGTTTATATATACAAATATATAAATATATACACATATATATATACATATATATGTGTGTGCATGTATGTATGTGAGTATATGTGTTTGTCTGTATGTGTGTGTATGTCTAATTGAGTTTGAATGTGACTGACATCTTAAACATCACCCGAATGCGTAACGTAAGATATGAATGGAGGAAAATGATATCACGTGTGTGATACATATTCTATTCTAATTAATAATATGAATTCTTATTTGGTAGTTTTGATGTGGTTATTATTTTCATGTGTGTGTGTGTGTGTGTTTGTGTGTGCGTGCGAAGTTTATAATAGTTTAGATGTGATCGATTCTTTTCGTCAACCGCTTGTTCATTCATTCATTCCCTCACTCATACATTCAATCATTCTCTCATTCATTCGCTTCACTCATTTATTCATTCACTTACTCTTGAAGACCAGCCTACAACAAATCACCCGTCAACCACTTGATGTATAATGATTTATTACAAATGATACTTATGATAAATTTTACATTTTGAGAGAGAGAAAAAAAGAAAAGAGAGAGAGAGAGAGAGAGAAAGAAGAGAATGAAAGAAAGAGAGAGAAAGAGAGACAGGCAGAGAGACAACAAAATTGTTGGTGCCTGGCAAAATAATATTGAATATTGCGCATATAGATGTAACAACAACAACGTCAACAACAACAACAACACCAACAACAACAACATCAGCAACGTAAACAACAACAACAACAACAACAACAATGGCGTCAACCTTTCTTTACTAGGCAAACAACAAAATAATATGTGGAAGATTTGACATTCAAGTAAATTTTAAACGATACCCCTACCATGTGAACTTCAATACCACCAGAACAAAACTCGATGCAACATTATCAGAGTAGCATAAAATATCATACAACAGCATAAGACACAATACCCCAGACCCAATACAAATACCTTCCAATCAGAGCAATGCCTTCACATGCCTACACTATCATCATATCGGTAACGGCCAATGCCCTAGCCCTGCCACAATGAGTAGCCAAAGTTCATCAGTCTAATTCTATAAGGTTATTAGTCAATAATATTATTATTAATGTTATTCATATTGTTGTTCTTCTTTTTATTATCAATATTGTTGTTATTCGTTTTGTTCTGTGCAAGCTATGTTCATTGTTCACATGACTAACGCGTTGAAATAATTTATCGTTATTACCATTACTATTGTTGCTAATAATACTAGCATTAATATTATTGTCATTGTTGTTAATGTTATTCTTATTATCTACATTTTAATCTAGAAGATTGAAACAATTTTCCACTACAGCAACTTCTGTTGCTTCAGCAACTACTGCTGCTACTACCACAACTGCTATTACAGCAACTACTGCTACTACAGCAACTACTGCTGCTAAGTTATTAGTAAGTTAATTATTACGAATAGTATTACATCACTACTGATACTAGCACAAGCATGTTTGATAGTGTTGTAGTGTTGTAGATAATTTGTAGTGTTACTTACTACCAGCGCTTCAACCTTGTGTACCATGGTCTGCAGCAAGCATTCAATATCTGCCAATGTCCTGCTTGTTTGTGCTGTTTATTTATATAAAAATTTCCCTACATTCTCTCTCCTTGTCTGTCTGTCCTTTCTTTCTTTTCATTTTGTCATTTTCCTTCATTTACTACTTGTGAAACTTTTGAGATCATTTTGCGTGCGAGACGATGGCGTAGAAACATTATAATGGTTTCTTCTTATATTTAAAGAGTACATTTAAGGCGAAATGTGGATGAAATGATGGCATGATGGAAAGTGGTCGAGTTATTCGGCGATGTTGAAACAAAAAACCAACCTGTTCACGATGTTTTTGGGAATGTGGCATGCTTTAATGGCCCGTTTAACTCGATACAACTGCACCAATTAACAGGGGAATACAAAATTTAAAAACGTCTTTCGGTGCAGTTGGTTTCTGAATGGAGAATAAATTTTTAAAAAAATTTAGTTTTAACTTTCAAAATTTTGAAAAAAAATCTTTCCAATACGCTTGGTTGCTCATTTCTGGTTTAACGATTGCCTGGTTACTTACATTTGTCTTTTGAATTTTTCTGCAACCGAGCCAACTTGCTAAGTGCAGTGCACCAATTAGTATTTAAATATTTACATCTGATGAAAATCTGCCAAAAACTCAAAAATTTTAGACCGAGTGTTGTATTTTTTGTAAGAATGTTTGCATTATTTGAAAAAATGTCTAGAAATGAAATAAAGCCTTTGGCTCTGTTCGCTTACTTTCATGGTGGGGAAAGGTAATAATTGATTTGTTAGGAGAGATGTAAATTGTTGTCTCATGTTTCATTTAATCACCTCAGTGTATTCCCTTGCGCGTGCCTCCAACGTCATCCCGGCAAACCTGGCCCTCCACAAGTCAACTCAACAGCATGCAGCTCCACACTTTTCCGCTTCTAGTTTTACGTTTCTGATTTCATGGTCGACCGGGATGCGAACCCTGATGCCTTCCTGGGACACTGCTACCACGGAAATGATAGTCCCGGTGGTCTGAACTGGGCAGTTGTCGATCTTGCTGATGAATATTTTGCGAGCATAGTGTCAACGTTTATTCGAGAGACATGATCCGCATGCTGCTCGCCAGCGTTTAAGTTTTTAAATTAAATTTTCAAGATCATAGATAGATTGATAGATTTATATTTCAGAAGTTAATTAAATAATGTGATCATTTATTTAGCCGAAAGATTGGATCACTTTATCATTGGCCTGACATCTGCCGATCATTTCCAACTTGGATCACCCATCACCAGAGTCGCCTACCCTCTCTGCGGCCAGTATAGGAAGCAGATCTCACTCAAGAGCAAGCACACTGTAAGATGCACCGCTAACCTCCTTTTCTATCGTTTCGTCATAATTCAACAGCCTGCAGATGGAGTTGGAGCGTTAAATGTCTGCGAACTGGAAGTATACGAGGCTAACGATTCAAAATGTTCGAAAGTTTTTCAAATTAATTCTGAGTTTACAATAATTTACTAATCCCCAGCATCCATAAAGTGAAATGTTTTGTGAGATGCACGCCAGGCCTCTGCCAGTCTGTTAACTTCAACCAAGATGAATCCTTCTGCCAGCTGAACCAGCACGTTTTCGGGTACAACCAAACTCACTTGAATTTCAACCTTAGCTGGAGTTTCTACGAAGTTCACTACACATAACCAGTGACTATCGAACCGTGCATGACAAAAAAAAATCAATGCTGTGTAACAGTTCATTACTGTGTTTTATGAATTTTATTCTGCATTATCCAAATATCATTGAGCAATTGATGAAAATTTTCAGATTTGATGGATCAAGTTCATTCAATAAAACGTACAATTCAATGTCGAAATTGTTCACAATAACATTTAAACATGAATTTAAACGATCGTAACTTTTGACTAGAACGATAAAAAATCACCCTCCAATTCCCCTCCGGAAGTAAGCTCATTGTTCGACCGTTAAAAGTGAGTGAAGGCCGTTATATTTATTCTAGTTATGTGGACTAATTAAAAAACATCAAATAAAATTTATTAAATAGGATGGGTAAATGTTGCGAAATCGTTGAAGGAAATGACGTCATGTTAACAGTAGTTATTTTACTGCATGGTAGATAATCAGCCGGTATAAAGGTTATATTCAATTCCTATCAAATAAATTTGGACCGAATATCATACGCAGGCAGAACTAAATAAAGAAATAGACAGATAGATGTATATATACGTAGTTATAATACATTTATAATGTTGTATTTACACATTCAAATTGTACAATTGTGTTATGGTGTAGTCTCAAATTATTTTGAAGTCTCTAAGAAAAATTTAAACTCTTTACTATATAGTAGTTACTTTTATCAACAATTTTGAAAAAATTTCAATTTGATTTCATCGCGATATCGAATGGGATTGCGATTAGGAATGATTTTTGTAACCTGACTGATTAAAAAGCATCAAAGAAAGTTTTTAAAATAGGATAGAGAATTTGTTACATTGGGATATTCGTATATAAAGCAACTAAATTTTTATATAAAAGCGCTTATAAGTCTACGCATATTGGCTCAGCTTGGCTTGGCTTGACTTGGCTCGGCTTGGAATCGGATGTTAAGTAAGGTGTGGTCTGCAACTATTTTGAATTCTCTCCGAAAAATTTGAACTGCGTGCGTACATATATAGCACTGATTACTGTTGCTTTTACAATGAATTTATATTATATATATATGTATATAAATTCTCAATTTGATTACATTGCCACATCGATGATGATGATTGCGACCCATGGATATATATATATAATATATCCATGTTGTGACTTGACTAATTAAATGATATAAAAAAAAATTATTAAATAGGATGGGTAATTCGTTGCTAAATAGTTGGAGGAAATGACGTCATGTTATTTTACTGCATGTAGTTAATCAGCCGGTATAAAGGTTATATAATTATCAAATAAATTTGAACCAAATATCATACGCAGGCAAAACTAAATAAAGA